TCAGTTCCTGGGGTCCTTGTGCAAGACCCTGAACTAGTCTTGGCAGAAGTTTCCCTCACCTAGAAAATGAGCTTGTGGGGACCCTACGAGGCAGGTGTCAGAGTCCTGAGTACCCTTGGCAAGGAGCTGTTTCACAACATCGATGTTTGAGAATCATTAACCACTTTGATTGGACACCATTTATATCTTTGTATCTTTCTATTCATTCCCCTTGGAATGGCCTTCCCACTCTTTCCCATTTATTGGGATGTTCCTTCCTTTCTTCCTCCCCTCCTTCATTTTTTAATCTTTATCAACAGTGTCTGACTTTCAACAAAGGAGGTGATATAACAATATTTTCTACATGCATTATATTCACAGCATCTCTTTTCCAGCATTCTAAGTATGAATTCTCTAATGTCTTATATGGCTTTTGCTCCCTCAAATGATTTCCCACACTTACTATATTCACAGAGCTTTGTTCCCATGTAAGTGAACTGATGTTCAATAAGGCATAACTAGTAATTGAAGGTCTATTTACATTGTTTATATTCACAGGTCTTCTTTCTATTATGACCAGAGTTACAGATAATAAAGGATGAATTTCCACTAAAGCCCCTTCCATATTTATTACATATATAACATAATATATATTTATACAATTACATGTCTAATATGATGTAATATAAGATATGATCCTTTAGGATTAATTACCTAGTGGCAAATAATGCACAAGCTCTAATGAAAGCCTTCTATCATGCATGACTTTTATGGGGGTTTCTAGTATAAACTCTGTTAAGCTGTTTTCTCTCTATGTTCTAAATTCTCTCCAGGCATGTCCTCTAATTGGAGTAAAGGATGAGCTGTCACTGAAGGCACATTCACTGAATTCATAGAGCTTTTTCCCTTCAAGGTCCAGCTGAAGTCCTTAGTCTTCTACGAAGCTGTCCCAGAGTCCCACAACTCACAGGGATTCACCCATCCTCCTAATTCCTAAAGCATTTGCTGTCTACTCAGCACACACTGTCTTACCTTGTCAGTCCTATTTTCCTGTGTGTGTGTGTCTTGGGTCTCAGGCTCTTTAAGGGACTCCTCCCATCTCTGGTGCTTTGACACTGACTGTCCCACCTGCCTGAGATGCCCTTCTAACTCCCCTTTGCCTTTTAGAATATGTTGTTTCTTTCAAGACTCAGTTCAAACCTCACCTGATTTAGCAAAGACTTAAAAAATACCGAATTGCTTACTGTATATCCCTCCACGGTACTTAGCAGAAGGCCTTGTACATAGTAAGCACAGAGAAAGTAGTGGTTGAAGGAAAGCAGTTTAAACAGTTGTTCCTGGCCAAGTTCCTGTAAGCAGCATCAGTGGCTGCAATAGAGGCTCTCTATCATGCTAGGATCAGTTAGGTAGACTGACCCCAGATTATCATAAAATTACAGAAAGTCTGAATTTGGTGAGACCTCAGAGACCCCTTAATCTCACCCACCCTGGGAAGCAATCCCTTTTATACCTGCCCTGATCAGTGATTACCCGGCCTTCTCTTGAAGACATCTACTGAGAACTCTGGCGGAGGTGGTGTTTTTTAGTTGTGTCTGACTCTTTGTGATCCCTTTTGGGGCTTTCTTGGGAAAAATACTGGAGTGTTTTGCCATTTCCTTCTCCAGCTCATTTTATAGGTGAGGAGACTGAGGCAAATAGGATTAAGTGACTTGCCCAAATAAATGTCAGGTTTGAACTCAGGTCTTCTTGACTCCAGATACTTACTAGCTGTGTGACCTTAGGCAAGTCATTTGACCCTATTTGCCTCAGTTCTTCATCTGTAAAATGAGTTGGAGAAGGAAATGGGAAACCACTCCAGTATCTTTCTGCCACTTTTTGCCTCTTTGCTTGTTATCTTATGTTCTTCCACTGTTCTTTCTCCTCTTCCTTTCTCACCTGGCTACATTACTTCGAGACTTTTCTGACTTGTCCACCAGGCCTCGAGTTGGGTACCTTCCTTGGCTCTTACACCTGCGCCCTGCCTTCCCTCCCCAGCTTTTCAGTTCCAATTCCTTTTGTATGTTGTCTTTCCCTGGGAGACTGTGAGGTCCTTGAGGGCAAGAAGTGTCTTTTTTCATATTTATATCCCCAATGCTTGTCACATAGGAGGCACTTAATAAATATTTATTGACAGAGTGACTGATATTTCTCATTTTGGTCTTCTTGTAATGTTTTACTTGTGCCTTTGTCTTATGTTTATTTTTTTTCTGTCTTTTATGTGTCTTACTCTAAGGGGTGTGTGTGTGTGTGTGTGTGTGTGTGTGTGTGTGTGTGTGTGTATCTTCATCCTGTAGAAGCATAGAACGTCAGCTGGAAGGAAACTCAGAGATCAGACTTGTCCCCATCATCTCACAGAGGAGGAAACAAAGGCCTTGGTCCCAGTGTCTCAGCGTCAGAGCTGGAACTTGCCTGGGACTTCTCTTCCTTCCCTGGCTTATTCCCCACAGAACTCTGAATTGTATTAGGCACAGAGTACTGAAAGATGTGATTGCCGAGGCCTTACCACTGATCTTAGAAACACAGTGGAAGACGGGAGGAGCTCTGAAGGACTGGAGATGGGCACAGATCTCCATTTTTAAAAAGGGGAAGGTGATTGTTTAATACTATAGGCCAAAAGCTTGACTGTAATTCCTGGCAAAATTCTAGTACTCATTACTGAGTGGATAGTTTGTGGCTACTGAGAAAGGCAAGTGGTTATTACCACAAATCAGCACGAGTTCATCAAGAACAAGTCATGTCACCCTAACCTGACTTTCTCTTCTGCATGATTATGAGAAGCCATATATGGATTTCAATGAGGCATTCAACAGTCTATCATGTATCCTTGTGGGTAAGATGGGTAGACGTGGCTGGTATGATAGTAGTACAGGTTGTAGATTCACAAATGATTTAATGATCTAAAGAGCAGTGATTGATAGATTTCAACATGAAGAAGCCTCTCCTGAGCTGCCAAAGGAGTCTGTCCTTAGCACAGTCTGGTCTATCAAGGATTGAAATGAAGGTATATTTAGCATGTATATCAAATTTTAGAAACTTAAGATTTACACCTGGAAAGGGCACTAGAGTTCATCTAATCCAACTTCCTCATTTGGCAGATAAAGAAATTGGGGCCTACAGACTTTCAAAGCAGAACCAGGATTCAAGATCAGGTCCTATACACAGTGACAAAAGGAACTGATTTTTAATAATTGAATTCGTAACAAGCTGGTAAGGAAGATGTTTGGGGGCAGGAAAACCTTCTAAGTGTCACTCAAAGCATACGTACCGTGTAGCTCTCATAGGACACTATCAGAAAGGATCTTACAGATCATATACTCCAATCCTTTAATTACACAATGGAAGAAACTAAGTCCCAGAAACAGAAACTAACTTGCCCAAGGTTGTACGACTAGTCTAGGTTGTGAAATTAGATGTCCTGTTCAATCTGGGAAGCTTTTCAGTATGTAAACCAGTGTTGCCATTGAATTCAAAGACATATCTTGACCACAGAGCTTAGGAGCAGAGTTTCATGATCTCTCCTCTTATCTGACATCATCCTAGGATTATGTCAGAATCATAGAACATCAAAGGTGAAAAGGATTTTAGGGATCATCTAGTCCAAAGTTCTCATTTTATAGATGGAAACTAATTCCCAGAGAGGGACATAATTGATCTTGGGTCTCCTAATTCCCAATCTAGAGTTCTTTTCTACTAGACTATGGTAGGCATGAAGAAAAAAACAGTTGATAGGTGGATAAATCTGGAGCCAGGTCAGATAATGCCACATACTGGGAAATTTTACAGATTGTACACTGAGTTCAAAGACTTCTCTTGGTCACATTGATTTTAAGTAACTCAGAAAATTGTCACAAACCTTCCTTTCATCCCCCAGAACCTTAATTAAGAACCTGGGAAAGCTAGGCCAGCCCTCTCAGAGTCCAGAACCTTAGCAACATCTGTCTTCATGCCTTCAACCTCCCCTTTCTGGGTCCTTTTCCCAGATCTTAGGTGTCCCTTCCACCCAACTTCAGGAGAGTTGATCAGTGTCCTTCTGGCTCTTCCTACCAATCCCTTATCTTAAACTGCTCCCATATCCTTCATTCACATAGAGCAGCTTGGGATATTATCTTCTTTGGGCTTTACATGTTGATAGACATTGGAAGCTTTTATCTAAAGAAAAAGAACCCTACTTTTGGCCTTTCAGACAGTTGCCAATGGATGAAAATTTCAGGAGGCAGGGGAGAATTCTAAGAGATTCTGAAATTGTCCCATTTAAGTGGTATACTATTCTCCCCATATTTAAAGATGGCGCTGTGGAGAGTTGAGGCATGACCTGTTCCTAGGAGCCTGGTGGTGGTATGGAAGTGACCCTGAACTCTTCATTGTTATGGCAGCCCAGCATAAATTCTAGTGAGTCTTTTCAGGCTAGAATGACATCAGACTATATGTCTATCCTCTGAGGCCCAGGGGCTTATCACCAGGTCGGCTGCATTTTTCAGCCATAGCAACTCCTATAGACCGTTTACTAAGTTGTAGGGGGCATGCTGTATGTCAGGGGAGGGAGAACCCCCACCTATACAGTCACAGCTCTTTGAAATATTGAAATTCTGAGTTCTGTTGCCTAGGGGTTTTTTTTGTTTTGTTTTCTTTTTTAAAGCCTAACAGTTCAGAACCCAGAGCCCAGTGCCCTTTTAAGTCTAACCTAGTTCAGGACCCTGAGCCCTGCCTACTTTAGATCTCTTAAACCTGACTTCTTTTAAGGCTTATCCCTAATTTCTTCCAGATGGGTGCATGCTATTCTGTATAGCTGCTGTGGGCTTTCCTGACCTATGTACTGCTAGCATCAGATGTCCATGTGATTTTTTTGTTTCCTTTTTCAATGGAAGACACAGAGACCCAGCCGGGTTCCCTGGGCAGAGAGGTGTGAAAAGCTAGCTTGAGATATTTGTGTGTGTCCCATGCATATGTTATCATGCTTCACTGTTGTGTGTCTTTCGTTGCAGGAAATTAAAATGCATGACTGATAGCGAGTCTGTTCCACCCGACTGGCCTTATTATATAACCATTGATAGAATACTGTCCAAAGTCACTGAATACAATGACGTGAAACTGCAGGAGAGCCAGCAGCCCGGGCCTTCCACGTCCCAGACCGAGGCGTCCCTGTCACCGTCCGCTAAGTCTACCCCTCTGTACTTACCGTATAACCAGTATTCCTATGAAGGAAGGGAAGAGTGCTACGAGGATGACCATTCAGAGAGCTCTTCCAGCTTACTCTCTTTTAAGTTAAGGTAGTGTTTGCATTTATTCCTTTTCCACGCCTCCCCTCTGAATGGGGCTGGGCCAGCACTGTCAGGTGGAAGGGAAGCATGGGGGCCGGGGCGGGCTGGGGTGGGGGACCCTCCCGGCCATCTCTGCCCCATGTTGCTGAGCCAGTCTTTCCATTGCCTCTTCCCTACCAGCCCCTCAGTTTGGTATAGTAGAAAGAGCACCAGATGTGAAGTTAGAAAAACTGAGTTCAAATCTTGGCTCTGCTATGTACTGTGACCCAGGGCAAGCTATTTAACTTCTCTGAGCATCAGTTTCTCCACTTATAAAATGAAGGAGTTGAACTAGATCTCTAAGGTATCTTCCTATCCTAGGAATCACCATCCATGCCAGGGTCAAGGTCCGAAGCCTTGCAATTTAGTGTTTGTTGGCTGCCACCTATTTGACAAGTCACTTCTTATGAGCCCCAGTTTCCCCATCTCTAAAATGGGGCTGCTAATATTTATTCTGCCCACCCTGCAGTTGTGGCATGAGGATCAAATGAGATAATAATGTGCTTTGTCAACTATAATAAATGTATTTATTTCTCTGTTATTACTATCTGTCTGGAAATCCCTGGTCAATTTCTCTTTGTACCATGTAATCCCCATCTTAGGTCTGGGCACAAGACAAGCAAGTGAGAGAGTTAAGGCTCAGTGACCCACCCCCATTGCTGGCAGTGGCAGCTGGGGTGCTGAGAAGATAGAGTGGCATTGAAGCCAAGGCCCCTGTCTCAAATCAGGTGCCTCAGCTTACCTACAAGGGAAAGATGAGACTAAGAGGGAGTGTGATCAAGGCCCATAAAACCACAAAAGGATAAATAAAGTGGGGTGAACGGACCCAGGCTCGTCCTGCTTCACACCTTGGGCAGCAACCTAAGGAACTTATTGCCACAAGAGGTGGCAAAAGCTCTGATACACAGAAACATCTGTTGCCCAGGTCAGATTTATAAGAGAAAGTAAGAAGTGCAGGGACATGGGTAAACTGTCATGAGCCCATGATGTCAGAAAGGATAACCATTGCAACCTGGGGCTGGAAGGACACAGGCATCCGAGCTCACACGGCGTTCAGATGTGCTTAACCTTCTGAGTGTCTTGGGTTGGCTTCCACATAGAACAGAACTTTTTGGTGAATGAGAGAGAGGAGAATCCCCAAGGTATGCTATTTATGTTCACCAAGTGCTTCCTATGGGCAAGGCCCTAGGCACTGGGGGTATTAGTATAAGAACAAAATGTAGTTACTCTTCCTCCTTCATGATCTCTACTCTCTAGGAGTTTTCAATCTTGTAGAAGGCGTAAGATGCATTTATGTGAACTATACAAGACAGAAAGTGGAACTTTCGAAGTGCAAATTGTACCATGTTATTAAGAACAGAGAAAGAAGAGATAGATCACTTCTGGTTTGGGGTCAAGGAAACTTCATATGGAAAAGGAATCATTTAGGCTTAGTCTTGAAGACAGAAAATGGACAGACAGAGGTGGTAGGAAGGGCAATCCAGGCAATGGTAGTGTCACATGAAAAGGAATGGATAAAGTACAGAACATAGTTCATAGAGCATAATCTACTTTGGCTGTGACTTTGGGTCACAGGAAAGGAAGTAGGAGATAATCTAGAGAGCTGAGGTGGGCCCATATTGTGAAATGGCTTTAATGTGATGGTACAAACATCCTCTCTTATCTGAACCCAAATCCATAGGTTCAGACACAGATAGATGAGATCAACTCCTCATTGGTTGATGTGATTTGAAAAAGTCTGACCCTTTCCCCTCTCTGCAAGATTGGTGGGATATCTGTCTTCAGGATCAATGATTCTTGAGATCTAGGTTTGAATCCTCACTCTCCCATTTATAATCTGAGGCCTTGGGCAAATCACTTCTCTCTGGGCCTCAGTTTCCTCTTCTATAAAATCATAGCATTAGGCTAAATGATCTTTAAATTCCCTTCCAGGTAGAATGATGGATTTTCTGTTCATCTCTCTTCTCTTCTCTTCTCTTCTCTTCTCTTCTCTTCTCTTCTCTTCTCTTCTCTTCTCTTCTCTTCTCTTCTCTTCTCTTCTCTTCTCTTCTCTTCTCTTCTCTTCTCTTCCCTTCTCTTCCCCTCCCTTCTCTTCTTCTCTGTCTCTCTCTCTATATATATTATATATGTATGTGTATGTTTGTATATGTATATATGTATATATGTATGTATGTATGTATGTATGTATGTATGTATACACACACATGTATTCATCCATCCATCCATCCATCCCAAGGACTTAGTCATCAAGTCTTTACTGAGGACCTCCTAGGAGGTTCTATGATGGACACAGGAAGAGAAACAAGGAAACAAGACACATACAGTACAATCAGAGAATAATATAAGGCAGAACAAAAGCAAGCACCATGCAGTATGCCACACATTCTAAATGCTAGGACATTGGCTAAAGAAAGAATGAAAGAGGAGAAAAAGGAGAGAGAAGAGAGTTGGTTAAACTGTGGTTTTAAAGAAAGGGAGGGGCCTGGTTTTCAGATGCCCCTTTTAATTCAGCTTGTAAATAACAAATGTGTTTCCCTGGTTTGGGAATCTCCAGGCTCCCCACCATCCTGCTGAATGAATGATCAGATGTTTGCCTGCTCCCTGTCCTTCCATTTCATCTTGTGCTAGACACAAGGCTAAGAGTACCGCCTTTGTTCCTGTTAAAACAATGAACTTGACATTCCAGACAGTATAGATCAATTTTGTTTTGTCCGTTTCCCACTCATTTGGTTAGCCTGGCATCATGGAGATTTGCAGACATACGTGCATCTTGTCTAATTTCTTTGGGAATATGTGGTGGAGAGCTCTTTCAAGCTTGGTATTTGCTCAGTGGCCCCCACAGAGAGTGTGCCTTGTGTGTTTGTGGCCACAGCTGAACCAACAACCACTTTGGACCACCCTGCTGTGACAAGAGGCCAGGGAGGGCTGTGGGTGACAAGTGGGATAGGGATACTGACATTCCTTCCCCTTCTTTTCCCATTCCCAACCTCAAACTAGAGCATAGGATCAGAGCCTTTAGAGCTTAAAGGGGTCTTAGAAATTGCTTAGTGCAAGCTTATGAATGAGGAAGCCGCCTCAGTGTCACAAAGACAGGTCTGCTGTCTGAGATGCTGAGGACAAGTACTGCTTGGAGTCCAGGTATTCCTAGGATCCTGACTCACTGTACTTCATTTTGAGGTTTTGGCTTTTCGAAAAGGAGGTACCAGACCTGGACCTGACTAGGAATGACCCTTGGCAAATCATGAAACCACTTTTGAAATTTGTCTGCAATGCCCCCTTTCCCTGTTCAGTTTCTGACCCCACCTGTTCCCTTTATACTCCCCTCATAAAGCCCCACCATGGCCCCAAAGAAACTTACTCTCTTTACTCCCTCCCCTCCTGACCCCATTGGTCTGATATTTCTTGTCTTGGATTGCACTTTGCTCTTTTTCACTCATCATGGATTATTCTGAAGATTAAACTGGGATTGAATTTAATGTGGATCAGTATAAAACCCCACACTGGTGAGAACAACATCTAAGGCAGTGGTTCTCTGATGGTGGAATTTAAGGTGATACTAGTCATTAAAAAGTTCTGAATCAGAAAATCAACTTCCCAAATACCAGATGGGGGAGATATGAATAAAAATATGGGCCATGATAACCCCCAAAACTAATGTGATACGAAACTGCATTAAAAGAAGCATTGAATCTAGGTTGTAGGAAAATTCTGTCCCATTCAGACTACATTTGAGGTATTGTATTATATTCTGGGCACCTCACTTTAGGAAAGGAATTGATAGGCTGTAAAGTGTCCGAGGGAAAGTGACTAGGATGGGGAAGAGTTTTGACATCAAGCTACATGAGGGTCAGCCGAAGGAACTAGAGATGTTTAATTTGAAAAAGCAAAGACTTAATGGGAATATGATATGAAAGTGGAATTACTGTTTCTGTTTGGCCCTAGAAGGATGAACAGAGTAGCAGATTTAAGCTTGACATTGGGAAAACCATAAAAGTTAGAGCTATTGAAAAGTACAATGGGCTGCCTCAGGAGATATTAAGTTTTCAAAAAAGGCTTGGTAATCAACTGTCCAGCATACTGTAATGAGAATTCTTATTCAGATACATATTAGAGCAGATGCCTCTGAGGTCCCTTCCAACTGTAAGAAGCTGTGATTCTATTGTTGAATGACTAGGTTTAAAGAGTGGTGAATAAAGAATCAAGGTGAAGCTGGAAGAAGGTCCTTAATAGAGTGTCACTGGGCTTTGTCCTTGTCTTTATCTACACAGGAATAGCAGGCAGTGTCTTCTCATATCTCTTTTTTTAGGGCCAAACTTATTTTTGATAATTTCTCATCATCCATTTTTAGTTGTTTTGTGGTTGTTATTCAGCTAGCACTTGAAATGACAGAAATGGAATATAAAAAGGTCTCAGAAAACTAGAAGGACAGATTCAAGCTGTTAAAATTAACAAAAAAATTTTATTAAGGATAAAATTTTGAGTTCCACATTTGCTTAAAAAACCAATTAAAGTATAATACAGGAGTAGAAAGCAGTTTGCGTGAAAAAATGAAAACAAAACAAAACAAACCCTGAGAGTTTTATGGGATTGTAAGTTCAATAAAGCCAATAGTATGAGTTGGCAGCCAAAAATACAGTGTGATCTCGAGGCACATTAATAATGGTACACCTAGTATCCAGTTTCAAAGTGTCCAGGATGAGGCAGGTGATAGCCCTGCTGTCCTTTAGAAGAACATGTGAGGATCACTTGGCGGAATTGGAGATGTTTACCTGAAGGAGAAACATCATAGGAGGGAGGGAACGTGATAGTTGTTTTTGAGTATTTGAAGAGCTATCACGGGAAAGAGGAATTATTTTACTTGAACCCAGAAGGCAGAAGTAAGAGCAGTGAAGGGGATTTTGAAAACCAGGTAAGAGAAGTAGAGGAAAAATTGGGAAGAGAAATGAGAGTGATGCAAGAAAATCATGAAA